TGCGGACGCGGCACGTGGGCGCGCGGACGCGGCACGTGGGCGCGCGGACGCGGCACGTGGGCGCGCGGACGCGGCACGTGGGCACGCGGCCCGGCCCCGGATTGCCTGGGGACCGCCACCCGCCGAGACGCGAGCCACTCCAAATGGCCCCAGACTCTAAGACGTAAGCCGCCTGGCCTGAAAAGAAAAATAATAAGATTTATGCGTGCCTATTACACATGCATATTAAACATTCCTGCCACCTCGCTTTCATCATGCAGCTATCTCATGGAGTCGGTGGTAGTATTCTTGTCTTTGTGGTTAGGGGTCTTCAAGTGGGTGCCACCTCATCGCTGTCCCGTGCACAACAATAGGAAGCCCTGCCTGGCCCTGCGCCGTCCCCACGATTGTGCTAAGTCCACTGTGGCAGCTACCTTGTGTTAATCCATCTTCTTGAGGGTCGTCCTCGTCTTTGCTGCCCCTCCACTTCGCCAAGCAGGGTGCCCTTCTCCCAGGAACAATCTCTCCTGACAGCATGTCCAAAGTACGTGACATGAAGATTCTCCAGCGGGGCTTCCTCCAAAACTGACGGTTGCCCTAGCAGTCCATGGTGTACTCAGTATATTCCTCTCCAACGCCGTAGTTCAAAGGCATCGATTCTTCGTAGTTTTCCCTTACTCAATGTCCAGTCTCAGGGCCGAGGAAACAGAAGCTTAGAGACTTGCCAGACAGCTGAAAGCTGCACTTGAACTCAGACTGTTGGCTCCAGAACCTGCGTCCACAGCCCGATCACCTTTTATTGCCTCCAGTTCTCATCCGGGGAAATAACTGATCGTATTCTCCCAGTTGGCAGCCACGCGTGCTGTTGTGATGATCAACTGCAAGCCTGCAAGCCCCGGGACCCACAGAGCTCTGGGGGTGCAGTGGTTAGCGTTGGGTTGCAAACCACAGCTTTGGACAGCATTTTGAAACTGTCAGACAACCTGAGGGAGAAAGATGGGGCTTTCTACTCCTGTAAAGAGTTGCGGCCTCAGAAATTCATAGTGGGCAATTCTGCCCCAACATATAGAGTCAACATCCTATATGAGCCGACATCGACTGGATACGGGGTAATGGTTTCCACAGTGGGCTGCTAGCCATAAGATCAGAGCTTCAAACCCATCAGCCACTCTTAGGGAGAAAGATGAGGCTTTCTGCCCCAGTAGATTCACAGGGTCAAAAATCCAAGGGGGCAGTTCTATACCTTCCTCTAGGGTCACTATAAGGCAATATCAAACACTCCTGCATTTCTGTAGCTGCTAGTGGAGAGATCAATGGGAATTTTACTGAAGGTCATTCCCAGCTAGGGCCATGTAAAATGGGGAGAGAGCCTGGAAAACATGGGGGAAATCCCAGAGGAGAGGCAGGGATGAGTGTAAATGGGGAGGGTGCGTATTGTCCGTGTCTTATGCCCTTGAGCCAACTTGGAGACCTGTGTCACAGGGAAAGAGTGTTCCATTGGATGTTTTTTGGGGAAGTGGATTGCCAGGCCTTTCTTCCCAGGCACCTCCGGATGGACTCAAACCACCAACCCTTTGGTTAGTAGCTATGTAGCTGTCGTACCATCCAGAGACTCTCCTGTCACACTTAAGATCTGCTTAGAAAACGTTCAATGAACGAATGAATGAATGAATGATGACTCTCTCAGCATGCCCTGGAGTGAGTGTGATGTCACCCCGTGAGTGTGATGTCACCCCACTGCTGTTGAATGCAGAGCTCTGGTTTCTAAAGAGGAGTCTCAGAACACGCCTGCCATCCTTGACCCAGGACCCTAGCAGTCCACGGAAGGCTGCCCTGTTCCCCCTTACACTCTCACACGCTTCACCTCCTGTGTTAGGCAGGGTTCTCTAGAGAAGCAAAACCAGGACACTTGCAACCTAGAGGAATTACTGAAACCCAAATGAAGGCTGAGCATGATAGTGGGACAAGAGGAAAGTAAAAGGAAATAGAGGAAAGAACTAGGAGGCAAAGGGCATTTATAGAGGTCTAAATAAAGGCATGTACATATGTACATATATTTATATATGAGAATGGGGACATAGAGCTATGTACATATATTTATAGGTTTAGTATTAAGGTAGCTGAGATAGTTAAAGGTTATTGTGCCAACCTGGCCGATAAACACATGTGGGGTTAATTGAAGGTCAGAGAGATAATTGGCTCAGTGAGCCCTGCCTTTGTAGTTCTCCGGTCTCTTGCTTTGTGATATGTTGGGTTGGCTGGCCCTGATAGCATGTTATCCGAAGGGACCAGTCCCAGGAGGACAGCATGCTTGGTACAGTAGAGGGTCACGGTGGGCATGACAACGGGCTCAAAAAGGGCAGGTCGGGGAGGAGACGCAGGACCAGACAGTTTTCTGTCTGTGGTCCATCAGGGCACCGTGACTTGGAACCTACCCAAAGGCATGGAGCAGCACTGGCAGAAATCGTTGCAGACGCAGAGCTTCAGGCCAAGCTTCTCCAGTATCTCTGGGTGGCCTTGGACCCCCCCGTCTTTTGTTTGTTTGTTTGAAATGAACTTGTTTTCCACAGAAGACTCAACGTCCATTTCAATGTTTCTTCCCTCCCCCACTTTTTTTTAAAGCCACTCAAACCACTATTTTGAGAGATAAAGAATTGGGGGAGGGCTCTTTTGGGTTTGTTTTTAAAGAAACAGATGTATTTCCAGAGCACACCTCAAGAAATTAAATCAACAGCAATGTCCTACTAAGCCATCCCTATATGAGGAGCTTTGTGTCGTCCCCACCCCGCCCCATCCCTCCTCGTCCTGGTCCTGCCCCTGGCCTCCTCATAGCCATCAACGTCCTGTCTATTGTTATATAAACTGCACGTCGTCTTCTTCTTTGTTTTGCCTTATAACAATGAAGATATTAAATATTCACCTTTGTAAGACTGACTGAGTTTGAACCATCAACCTTTAGGTTCTCAGCGGAGCACAAGTCATTTGCACCACCCAGGACTTTGGGGAAGAATCACTGGTCACATAGTGGATCACATGTTGGGCTGCTAACCACAAGTCAGCAGTTCGAGCCCACAAGCTGTTCTGCGGGAGGAAGCGGAGGCTTTCAGCTCCAGCCTCAGAAACTCAAAGGGTGCAGTTCTACTCTGAACTAAAGGGTTACTAGGAGTTGGAATGGCTTTGATGGCAGTGACTGAGCTTGGTTACTGGACACTGTGGTGCCCGCAGAGGACCAATGAGAAAGTGCTGAGCCTAAACCTGGCTATTTACAGCAGCAGAGGTGTGAGAGGGGAGGTGACCTTCTGGCCACCCAGAAATGAGTGCTAGACTCAGCTGGGTACCAGCTCAGTGCTCCCGTTGCCCAAGAAGGACCAGAGGGAGCCCTATGACACTGTGCCCTCCTTCTTTTAAGCCTATGGGCTCCCTGTCTCTCTCACGGGAGAAATCCAAGGCCCAGTTCTTTCCGGAGGCCCCTTGCATGGAATGCTCCAGCTTCCAAACCTCCAGCTCTGCTCAAACCCTAATTCTAACCTGTTGCCATCCAGGCAGCCCCAGGACAGAGAAGAACTGCCCCCAGAAACACAGGAACTATTGTGAGGACAGGGCGGTGTTTGTTCTGTTGTACACAGGGTGCTGTTAGTTGGAAGTGACTCAAAGGTATGTGTGTTAGGGT